CTTGTATGTTCACATTGTTATTTAGGACTGCAATTGATCAGTCTCTCGCTAGCATATGTGCAGGTACACCCGGCTGATGAGTCAAAAATAGGACGAAACGCGTGTCCTGGATTCCACTGCTAGCCACTATCCATCTTTGATTATAAATGCTTAATGGTTCTATCATCACTCCGATTCAAATATATGTTTAGAAAACGTAATTTGCTGTTATTTTACTTGTGACAAAACTATACTGTCATTCTCTACGTTGCCCTCAAATGCCCTGGTATGGTCGAGAGTGGGGAGAGTCCGCTCTCCCTCTCGAAATACTCTAACATGGTCATGCGTAATATAGCCTCTGTCAGGGAAGTCCTATTCACTGCCTTCTCGTGGCATTACTGTTGTTTTCGAAATTGAGAGGAAGAAAAGCGAATGTCCGGCGCTTCAACCGGGTTGGTGGACACGGATAGTCCACCTAGGGGAGTTGGCAAACCCTGATTCCAAACCAATGGTGCACATGGGCTCCAGTATCCTGAAGGAACAAATGGCGTATGAACCAACCGTTGGTCACCGGCTACCATGGAACGGCATCTCCTCACGATGCTCCACTGCCTTGTGGATTAGACCTTTAGATCAAGGGTTCCGGGTGTGGCCCCCTAAGAAAACCACTTGCTTCAGTTTGGGCACCTGGGCAGTATCACAACCCTCACACAAAACAAAAGAGGCGCATATGTATCTGCTGCCTTGTTGCACCAATATTCATATATTTAAATAAGTAAAACCATAAAATTCAATTCAGCTTCCGAAACGCTTGTTCATCTTTATGCGTTGAAACGCCTTCCTTAAATCCACTGCAATGTTTGTTGAATATGAATTAATACAAACGGCACTTAATCATTATTAAAAATTGTTATTTATTGCGAAAGAATTACAGGTTACCGGAGATTTCGTCTTGCGTAGAACGGCGTGTTGATGCAACGGATGTTCTAATTTTACAACTAGTTACCAGTAGCACCTTCTATGTTCGATCGTTCCCAGTCAGATAGAAATCAGAAGTCAGGCGAGAAGAGGCAGGAAAGATATATTTGATTCGTTACCAATATATCGAGGACATTTTCTATGAGCTGGCTAATGAAACGTAGGAGCTGTGTCCCACGCCGAGTTGAAACGTGATCTTTTGCGGATGCATGACCAAAAGCCTTCAGCTAAGCAAGTCCACTTAAACACGTGGTCATCATCCAATGTCGAACACTTAATGAGCTATTGATTTTGGGGAATTATTTACAGCTACAGATCACTCCCCCCCTAGTGAGGTAGTGATGCCTCTAAGACGTGACCAGCCAGAATTTTAAACCCAACGAGTTTGTCGTTGGTAAACACTCTTCTGATAGCTTGCTTCGTTTAGCAGCATCTGGTCGCCTTTCCTTAAACTATGGGACCAAAATGTACAACATAGCAATAAAGAAATATAGTACAATGAAAATTTCGGCTCCTTGCGAAACTTCGTCGTTCTTTTCCAGCCGTCCTGGAAAAGAGGAAAAATAAAACGTGTGAGTGCATGTCGAAAATACACTCGTACTTGCGTAAGGACACAAGATGAGCGGAAAAAAATAAACTGATACACTTACAAACAGCGTAAAAGCGATCGGAAAAAATGGTTTGTTTTTGGTTTTTTTATATATAAAAAGTATATATATATATATATACGCTCAAAAAAATAATCAAAATGTTTTGTTTTTTTTGTTTTTTTTATATAAATAAAAAATGAGCATATTAAAAAAATTTATAATAAACAATGAAAGGGTAATTCAAGATATAGCTTATGTCCTACGTGCAATATTCGTTAAGATGTTCTGGAAATCTTACTCGTCTTCCAGAACGCGTTGTTTTAGGTTTTTCTATCGACGTTGACGAAGTATCAAGTTGTGTGTCGGTTGTCGTGTAGGGTACTACGAGTGTAGTAGCTGTGTCGTTTGCTTGTACCGAAGGAAAATCGACGTAGCTAGGGTTTCCTTCTAGGTACGCAGCTTTGAGTCGATCGATACTGATGCTATCTTTCGTACCGTTCTTATCCACTACATAGTACTTATGTTCGCGTTGAAGAACTTTGAAGGGTCCTTCGTATGCTGATTCGAGGGGTCGTCGATGTGAGTCTCGACGAACGAAGACGTGTGTACCATGTCGTAATTCGCGTTGGACGAAAACATCAGTTGATTGAGGTCGAGTGTGAGCAGGTTTAACTGAACGCATAGCGTTTGTAAGCCTACTTGTGTAAGAGTTTAGATCCATGTTCAATGAAGAAGCTGAAGGATCTACGAATTCTCCTGGGAGTCGAAGTGTCGTTCCGTAAACGAGTTGAGATGCCGTGATGAGGTATCCTTCTTTCCAGTTCGTCGGCCTTTGTTCCTCCTCCCAAATCTTCTTGATAAGGTGAAGCATGTTTGTAGCTACCTCAATGTCTGACTTCAGCACGTCAGCTTGTATATTTTCAGGTCCTGTTGTTTTCCCTCTCTTGATATGTCTGATGGGCATCTTGACTTCTTCGATCGTTGGCGGGGCGACATCTATTGGAAGGTCTGTGTGTGCTGCTTTGATGTCCGGTGGATTTAATGGAGCGGGCCTATTCAGCAGTTCCTCGAAGTATTCTGCCCATCTTTTCCTCTGTTCTTCAGTCTCTGCGATTGTCTTTCCTTCTTTGTCCTTGATTGGTCTCTGGTTCACTATATCTCCCTGCCAGTTTCTTCGTTGTATCATATAGTTGTTTCATATTCCCTTCTCTTGCAGCTTTTTGCGCCATCGTTGCTAGGTTTCCCGTGTATTTCTGCTTGCCGGCTTTAATGCTATTCTTCACTTGCCTGTTTGCTTCTGCTCACTCTACTTGCACCTTGATTTTCTCTGCTCGTGTTCGACTGTTGTTAATTGCTGTCTTCTCGTTCTTCTTTTCTTCAATCTTGTCCAGGGTTCCCATAGAGATCCACTGCTTATGATGATGTTTATTGCGACCCAGAACCTCCTAACACGTTGAAGTTAGTGCTTCTTTGATCCCCTTCCAGTTGTACTGTATCGTAGTTTCTTGTTCTTTCAGTAGATACTGTAAAGCTTGAAACATGTTGTTGAAAGTTATGTTGAATTGGTTGAGCTTGTTAGTATCTCGAAGAAAGGATTATTGAACCTTTGAAATGCTGTTCCCCGATTGTCCAGTGTTTCTTTAGCTTCAGTTTCATCTTGGCCACAACCGGATGGTGATCTGAAGTCATGTCAGTTCCTCTCCTGGTTCTCACATCTTCCATTATCCTTCGGATCTTTTGCTGATACAAATATGATCTACGTGGTTCTCTGTGGTGTGGTCCGGCGAGATCCATGTAGCTTTGTGTAGGAGTTTGCGTGGAAATATTGTGCCGCCTACTACCAATTTGTTGAATGCACATAGGATTACAAATCTTTCCCCATTTTCATTTCTCTCTCCTGGTCCATGACGTCCAATTATATCTTCATATCCTGTGTTTTCTACTCCGACTTCAGCATTTAGATATCCCGTCAGGATGGTGAGGTCGTTTCTTGAGCACTTTGCTATGATTGATTGCAGTCTCGATTAGAACTGATCTTTATCATCGTCGTTGCTATCATTTGTGGGTGCATAACACTTAATGATGCGACGGATGTTCTGGTTTTACAACTAGCTACCAGTAGCACCTTCTATGTTCGATCGTTCCCAGTCAGATAGAAATCAGAAGTCAGGCGAGAAGAGGCAGGAAAGATATATTTGATTCGTTACCAATATATCGAGGACATTTTCTATGAGCTGGCTAATGAAACGTAGGAGCTGTGTCCCACGCCGAGTTGAAACGTGATCTTTTGCGGATGCATGACCAAAAGCCTTCAGCTAAGCAAGTCCACTTAAACACGTGGTCAGCATCCAATGTCGAACACTTAATGAGCTATTGATTTTGGGGAATTATTTACAGCTACAGGCGATTCACACAAACTCAGAATATCTTCGACTGTTGAGTTGCTTTCAATACGCTGTTTTGTGGACCTCAATACATTTTAAACGAGGACACTGAGGTTCCGTAACGTAATTTGTACACCAGGTCAATTTACAAAGTAACAAAAGAGCGAAATTTTACACTAGAAAACAGAGAAAGTTAAATAAACGCTATTCGCATTGATTTTGCGAATTCGCTACAGCAAAACACGACTCAAATATGAGAAAACCCGACATTCGTGCAGTCCAACGGACACCCAACAGACCCTCAACAACTCAGATACGGAATAACCGCTTTTTGTCTGGCCATTCAAGGTCTTCAAAATGAAACGGCGGGCTGCTTTTTTTCACTGACTTTTTTCACCGTGCCGAAACAAGAACACAACAGTCAGGATCGGTAAGTGCCTCTGAAGTAAGAATGCGGTGTACTGGCACAGCAGGTATATTTTTAAAATTGAAGGACGGGGTTACAGTACAAAAGGGTAAAGTTAATACAAAATAGTCTTATCCGTTGTTCTGCACGTTCAGATCGCGTAGGACTTGTTCCTCTTCTTCCAATGCGTTTACCCTTTGTTGCCCTGCAATAAGAAAAACAAATTCACATTAGTGTGTTGATTTTTATATCGTTACAGCACGGCGAGATAGGGATGTCCAATGGTTCAAGACTTGATTGGTCGGATCGATAAATTTAACTGGGCAATTGCTTTTAGATGACAGCTAATAGGACGGAGGATTCACAACCATCTCACCGAGAGATTTACTCCAACAGCAACTCCGACCAACTGGCCATTTTGCACACTACATTCTTTTGGCTTCTGGTCCCATTTGTCTGATTGTCTTCATGTAACACTTGTGTAATTCTGATTGTCGGTAGCTTTTATTCATAAATGTAACTGCATTGTATCTGTTAACTGAGTCACTGAATCACTTTGTTTCATTGTTTTTACTTACAGATTCTCACAAACACGCTGCTGTGCACACCTCAACATAGCTTCAGGCTGCATACAAACCTACTGGGGTCTGTGGGCTACTCGTGATGTCCAATATCTACCACCCATACAGAGTCCTTGGCCTTTGTTCCTCAGATGTACCTTTCGTTGTAAAATATATACCAAACTCAAGCGCATATTATGCTATAGTCCCCACAGGAGAACGGTTTAATATATATAAAGTAGGTCTGATGCCGAATAAGACTTAATTCCTAACAGCTTCCAAGACTGACTCTTATTGGATCAAGTAAGCAATTATGCTTCCATGATAATTCTTGACAGGCGATCCTCTTGAATTCCCAATTAAGTGTTTCACTTCTTGTGGTAACGTTCTGGTTGCTGCTTCTAGAGAAACGATTTATATTTTTCGTAATTCTCGTTATCTGCTGCAAAGACTTCAGCACCACACAAATATAATCACCCATTTATGCTCTCTAGAGAATTCGTTTCTGGTTTCAGTTGATGAAGGCGGTCTTACTCAAGTATGGAACAGTAAATCGTGGGGTAAGAACACATTGACGACTAGTGCATTTTACAGAGGTTGTATCTCACATAGAATTCTCGACAAAGGCTTTCTGTGTTACATCACTGATTAATCCCATCAGTTACAGAAACAAAGTACTCTTTGGGAGCTATCAAGGTCCGTTGCAATTGTGGGACGTCATATCTAGGAAGTTAATCTACTGGTTCAAAGGATTTGATTCTGCTGTGACCTGCCTACAGCAAGCCCCAGCGTTTGACGTCTGTGCAATAGGTCTCGCCGATGGACGTGTCGTCACTCATAACTTGAAATATGATGTTACATTAATGGTCTTTGCTCAAGATGGTGGAGCGATTACATCTATCGGTTTTAGAAGTGGTATGTTTGGTTTGATGCTGCAGATATAATTTGCTAAATTTTGCAAATTTTCATTATGTGATACCATTTCCTCACATGGCTCACTCATAAGCATGTCGTGTTTACCAAGACCAAATAAATATGTGATAGGTTAGTCAGTCAGTCAGTTAAACCCTATATAAAACCTGACACATCTGTACATCACCTCAAATTAACACACCTCACGCACACAGAGAAATATAATTGTCTGGGCGAATCCCACAGAAATACAGGTAGATTAGCACCAATTGTAATGAAAAAATTAGACCTCGGAATTCAGATTCAAAAAGAAAATATGAACTACTCAAGTGAAAAAAAATTTATATGGTATTTAGAAACTTAGAATCTAGACAAAGACAAGGAGTGAATATACCCGCACTGTTGCAAACGATTCTAAACCATGCCACCCAGTCTCCAAGCGTTGGTTACGACAATCACGAGGAACCCGACCAGGTAGTCTTCACTTACCCACATGGCTTAGTCTAATAGTAAATGTCTTCATGGATCGATACCATGTCTTAGCCTCGCTGCGCCTAGCTCCCAACGTATTGCACTGGTCATCGTCGCACGTCCGGATAGTCAGTGGATAGGAATACGTGACACATGTCCCAACCGTCCCAGTTAAGAATGATTTACCACCTCGTCAACTAACTTGCCATGCTTACCTAGTACTGCGTGTCTAACTTCAGTATTGCTAATTCGATGGTCCCGAAATACATGAGCAATGGTTCGAAGATACCTATGACCAAATAGTGTTAACCTACGAACATCCTTTGTCTTGAACGTCATCTTCCGCAGTCATAGCATAGGACAGAGACCTGCAGCGCATTGTATCCGTCCTTTAGTTGATAGACGGATGTCTTTCCCCTCAAGTTACGCAAGTCGGAAAAGTAACAGGGTTTTCTTGATCTGTGGCAGTATTTCGTCAGACTTCACCCCAACAGGTATTTTGGAACTCCTAAAGTGTTGTGATCAATATGCCTAACTACTTCACTTTCTATCATTAGTTTAGGCATTGTCAAAGACCAGTTTTAAAAATTTTGCGTTCAGAAAGAGGAAGCTTTGACAAACCGGGTAGCACCGTGTGTTTGCATAGTTACATACTTATACGTATTCGGATCATAATCAGTTTTACTCACAACTGTATGATAAACCTAATGACTGTGCGCTGCTTGATATGTATTATGTTTTGTTAGGGTTAGATTCAATGTTTTTAAGTTGCTACTACTGGAAAAACAAAGTTGGTTGCATGCTTATAAGATCAGGTTTGTCTGAGATAACATTGACACTACTAAGTGCACTTTGTTGACCTGATATCTCAATTAATCTTGTATCATTTGGTATAAAAACAACTATCTGTATGCTTGTGTGACTTCATATATTTTGTCAGTAGTCTTATCATATAGCTCTTATGAGTTTTTAAAAATATTGGTAATTAGATCGACCATCTGTTCATTAATGACGGACTCTTGAAGTGTACAATACAAACATTTCATTTGGCGTCTTTAATCATATTTTCAACTGAACATTTTAAATTCTTTGATTAGGTTCACATGGTTTGCAAAATCCTACAAATGTTGATGAGAAGGGTAGGATCACTTTGCTACCTGATGACAATAATGATGTTTATTTGATTACTGGTTGTGAGACAGGATATATCAACTGTTGGAAACTTCAAAGTAATGGAAAAAGTAGATCAGTTGGCGAAGCTCGCAACTTACATTGGGGTAGTGTAATAACCATATATTGCATTCCTGGAGGTGATGGTGCCAGTGCAATGGTAACGTCTGGAACAGATAATTGTATAAAGGTAACGGCATTGCTTTCGGTTATTTGCAATCTCATGTTTTAAAAATGATCAAGTACTTTTTTGAAGCTTCATACTTAAGCGTCTGCAATCCCAAAATTTTTGAAGTTACTCAAGTCTTCTATCTCTACCAAGGCATTAGCCAACTACTAGAGATTCCCAAGCAACACTCTTAGAATCTCCTTTCCAAGTTTCCTAAGCTCTCAACGTCCGCGTCCAGCTTTCGGCACCCTGTGTTCCTCGATTCATCACTTTCCCGTTTGCCTTGAGAATTTCAAGTTAGGGTTTCCACAGTGCGTCCTATCCACCCAACGCCTTTTCTTAACTTCCTTAATTGCAAGTTGGTTTGTTCTCAGTCAGAGCATGTTATTGCTTTGTAATTTGTGCTAAATACATAGTTGGTTGTCCTCACCTGTGTTCTCATTCACAACAGTAATACTGTTGAAGACTTTGTTTAGAACTGGCACTAGAGTAATGCCTCTTTCGTTCTCACACTTATTTTGTTTGGACACAAATATTGGTACAAGGAGCACCAGATATATATGTGCACCATACAAAAATTGTCATTTCATTTTGATTGTGTGAGGGCTATGATACTCCCTGAGTCCCAGACCGAAGCAAGTGGTTTCCTTAGGGGGAACACATCCTGCGTAAGTTAGTCAGCTACACACCCTGAGACTCTGACCTAAAGGTCTGACCCATACGGCAGTGGAGCAACGTAAACAGATGCAGTCTGATAGTAGTCGGTGACCAACAATTGGTTCATACTCCATTTGTTTCCTCAGGGTAATGAGGCCCGTGTGCACCATTGGTTTGGAATCATGGGCGATATGTATCCTCTGCCTTTTGTGCCAATATGTATGTGATTAAATAAATAAATGGGTGATAATGCCCAAGGCATGCAATCCGCAAGTACGATATGTGCTTTGCACCCTCCAAGTGCAAAACACTCCTACAAGACTGACAGGATTCTAATCCTGTAATCACCCTGGATGGTGAGCAGATTAAAGTAGTTGAGAAGTTCGTGCATCTAGGTAGCTAAATAAGTGCTGGTGGTGGCGTGAGTGATGAAATCGATGCACGTATAATGAAAGCCAGAGCGGCTTATGTCAATCCGGGCCATCTTTGGCTCCTTCGTGATGTTAGTCTGGCTGTAAAAGGTCGGATCTACAACGCGTCGGTGAGAGCAGTTTTGCTCTATGCTTGTGAAACCTGGCCTCTCCGAGTTAAGGATGTTAGACGTCTCTCTGTGTTCGATCATCGTTGTATCTGAAGGATTGCTGGCATCCAATGGCAACACCATGTTAGTAATGCAGAGGTTCGGCATCATGTGTTCGGGCGCAGAGACGATAATTCAATTGGTGTCACCATCTTGAAACACCGACTTCGGTGGCTTGGACATGTTTTACGAATGTCGTCCCAGAGAATTCCATGTCGTGCATTATTTGCCGACTCTGGGACTGGTTGGAAAAAGCGGAGAGATGGTCAGTGTATGACATAGTGTCGTGTTATCTTTTCTCTTCCTATTTTCATTGTTTTGTGTGGCGCATATGTATCAGGTGCCCTTTTGTACCAATATGTATGTGTTTAAATAAATAAATAAAATTCAATTTTTACGCCATTGCACACAGAGATAGCGTATACACTAAATCCTCATTGTTTTTACTTTAATGTTTTATCTACAGGTTTCTTACTTCGATCGGTCTGACGGTAGTCCACGTACAATATTTCGTCGAATAGGTCATTCTCGACCTCCGAATCGCATATTATTTTGGCCCGGGAGTTCAGCGGATGGTGGGTTATTACTTAGCGCCGGAAAAGATGGCGTACTTCGGTATGTTTTATTTCTCCAGTTATCCTCAATCATAATTATCCATGGTAATAAATAATAGTTATTTTATTTGTTATGTTAACAGTGTCTCAGTCCTACCTTATTCCTTCATAATTCTTGCGTTACTTTCGTCTTGTTGTTATTATAATAATTGCTACTTTGTCTATTCGTCAGTTAAATGAGCACATGCTTGCCAGCATATACAATCTAAAGTCTAAAGTTCACAAACCAATAATTCATTAAGATCAACATTGTGTACTTACAATTCACGTACACATGAATCGACAAAATGATTATCAGGACTCATGTGCGATAACTTCAGTAAGTTTCCTTTGAAAGATATGTTTAAACTAAATAGTATTCGCAACGGCAATAATATTATGGAAGAATGTGTGCAAACCTTTGATGTAAACTTTATTTACTAACATATCTTTGGTTAAAAATATAGACATCCTTTGTGACTACATATCTAGTAACTTTCCTCTCTTTCCTTTTCGGCTAACACAACTGGAAGATTTTCATATAGCCAGATTCCTTGATGAATTTAAACAGCAAGAACAACAAGGTTTGTAAAACAAAGTGAATTCATCAGTCTATTTCACGGTTTCTTATCAGCTGCATACAACCTAAAACTACAATTATGACAATAAATATGATTATTAACAAATGTTTAGCATACTTAGTTTGTGAAGTCTAGATATATGTTCGAAACAACCGAAATCATGATTAAAAAATGAATAGTGTGTAAATAAACATAGTTAAAATCGATGTGTATTTATTTACTAGAAGGTAGATAGTTCAGAGATTATGTAAAGATAATGGAATTAATGAGTGATTGGGTAATCGCTCAACATGGTAAAATTGACATACGCGCACATTATTAAGTTTGTTAGAGATGATTATCAGAAGACGAAATAAGAACAAGGATAAAAGGTTAGGGATAGGGTTGGTAAAAAGGTTAAAATTATTAAATGTTATTAGATGAAACCCAACTCCGCCTGTAGCTCTTCTAGAGTAACTGCCGGTTCCAGGCCCGGGTAAAGGATGAGGGTTGGGCATGGGGTTAGCGACCCCATTCCTAGACAACTAACTCGCTAAAAGCACGATAACCAGAAAAAATAACTCAAACCATTTAAACTGCCCTGGAAGTTGAAAAAAGAATTATGACGCCTCATGATAAAAGCCGAGATCCTTCGGAAGTCACGAGGCCGAAGTCCCGTGTAACAACCAGAGCAACAATTGTTATAGGTACATGAAACGTCCGGACAATGTGGGAGACCGGGAAGGCCAGTCAAATAGCAATTGAAACGAGAAAATACAGATTGGCAATACTTAAAATCAGCGAAACCCATTGGACACAAGCTGGACAACAAAGGCTAGATACGGGAGAGATGCTGTTGTACTCTGTTCACGAAGAGGAAAATGCTCCATGCACTCAGGGAGTTGCTGTAATGCTGTCCAGAGAAGCACGAAATGCACTTGCAGTATGGGAATCTCATGGATCCAGGATATTCAAAACAAAGAAGGAGGGGATCACAATGAGTGTCATGCACCCACAAATGATAGCAACGACGATGATAAAGATCAGTTCTAATCGAGACTGCAATCAATCATAGCAAAGTGCTCAAGAAACGACCTCACCATCCTGACGGGATATCTAAATGCTGAAGTCGGAGTAGAAAACACAGGATATGAAGATATAATTGGACGTCATGGACCAGGAGAGAGAAATGAAAATGGGGAAAGATTTGTAATCCTATGTGCATTCAACAAATTGGTAGTAGGCGGCACAATATTTCCACGCAAACTCCTACACAAAGCTACATGGATCTCGCCGGACCACACCACAGAGAACCACGTAGATCATATTTGTATCAGCAAAAGATCCGAAGGATAATGGAAGATGTGAGAACCAGGAGAGGAACTGACATGACTTCAGATCACCATCCGGTTGTGGCCAAGATGAAACTGAAGCTAAAGAAACACTGGACAATCGGGGAACAGCATTTCAAAGGTTCAATAATCCTTTCTTCGAGATACTAACAAGCTCAACCAATTCAACATAACTTTCAACAACATGTTTCAAGCTTTACAGTATCTACTGAAAGAACAAGAAACTACGATACAGTACAACTGGAAGGGGATCAAAGAAGCACTAACTTCAACGTGTTAGGAGGTTCTGGGTCGCAATAAACATCATCATAAGCAGTGGATCTCTATGGGAACCCTGGACAAGATTGAAGAAAAGAAGAACGAGAAGACAGCAATTAACAACAGTCGAACACGAGCAGAGAAAATCAAGGTGCAAGTAGAGTGAGCAGAAGCAAACAGGCAAGTGAAGAATAGCATTAAAGCCGGCAAGCAGAAATACACGGGAAACCTAGCAACGATGGCGCAAAAAGCTGCAAGAGAAGGGAATATGAAACAACTATATGATACAACGAAGAAACTGGCAGGGAGATATAGTGAACCAGAGACCAATCAAGGACAAAGAAGGAAAGACAATCGCAGAGACTGAAGAACAGAGGAAAAGATGGGCAGAATACTTCGAGGAACTGCTGAATAGGCCCGCTCCATTAAATCCACCGGACATCAAAGCAGCACACACAGACCTTCCAATAGATGTCGCCCCGCCAACGATCGAAGAAGTCAAGATGCCCATCAGACATATCAAGAGAGGGAAAACAACAGGACCTGAAAATATACAAGCTGACGTGCTGAAGTCAGACATTGAGGTAGCTACAAACATGCTTCACCTTATCAAGAAGATTTGGGAGGAGGAACAAAGGCCGACGAACTGGAAAGAAGGATACCTCATCAAGATACCAAAGAAAGGAGATCTGAGCAAATGTGAGAATTACAGAGGCATCAGTTTGTTGTCAGCACCAGGAAAAGTTTTCAACAGAGTGTTACTGAACCGGATGAAAGACGCAGTAGACGCCGAACTTCGAGATCAGCAGGCTGGATTCCGTAAGGATCGGTCGTGCACAGACCAGATTGCGTCACTACGGATCATCGTTGAACAATCAGTTAAGTGGAATTCGTCGCTATACATCAACTTCATTGACTATGAGAAGGCGTTTGACAGTGTGAACCGGAGAACATTATGGAACCTTCTTCGACACTATGGAGTTCCTGAGATTGTCAACATTATCCAGAACCCATACGACGGACTACAGTCAGTCAGTCAGTTACAACATAGAACTTTGTACGTACGTACACCAGTTCGAGTTGCCATACCATATTAACACAGAGATGCAGTTGTCGATTCAAATCCCATAGTGGTAGAAGTAGTAAGAGTATAAGCAGTAATCGGAAAGATTAAGGTTTGAAGATGTTATTTTAAGGAGTATAATCCAGTGAAATAAATTTGAAAAGCGAAAATAATAGAAGCACGAAGAATTCAGATTAGAATTTGGTAGAACACAAAGAGTGGATGCACCATCACCATTGCAAACGATTTTGAGCCATGTCATTCAAGGTCTCTAACCATCGATTGCCATCATATCGCGGATCTCAACCAGGTAGTCTACACCTACAAGCATGGCTCAGTTCACTTCTCAGTGACTTCACGGTTTTGTGCCACGTTTAGGTCTGGCCGCCCCTAGCTTTCCTCCAACCTACTTATACACCATAAAACATTGCACGTCGGAGCAGTCGGTGGTTGGGTATAGGATACACGTGTCCCAGACATCTCAACTGATGGAGTTTCACTACTTCATCAATCGATTTGCCATCCCTACCTAGTACTCGTTTCCTAACATCTGCATTGCTTACCCGGTGGTCCCAGGATATACGAGCAACGCTTCGAAGACACCTATGATCGAACACTAGTAGCCTACGAATATCCTCTACTCTTATCGGTCATGTTTCACTGCCATAAAGTATGACAGAACGAACTGCTGCACAGTCAACCCGTCCTTTTGTTGCTAGACGGATATCTCGCGTACGCCATAAGTGACGCATGTTGGCGAAAGCTAGACGAGCCTTCTGTATCCGTGCTGAGATTTCGTCACATACCAGACCACAAGAACTGATGAGACTCCCAAGATAAGTGAAGTGGTCAACACACTGAACAACTTCACTCCCTATCATTAGTTCAGATGCCGATGCAACCCAATCCTGAAGTAACATTTTTCACTTCGAGGGGGGAAAATCCCATCCCGAATATGCCTGCATAGTTGCTTATAGTGGTCAGAAGACTGCATTTTGTCAGCGTCTTCACCAAATAAAACCATGTCATCGGCATATTCTAAGTCAATAAGTGAGTCTCCCGGTAAAAGTTCAACTCCTGGAGATTGAGATGATGAAAGTGTTATCTCTAAAAGCATGTCGATGATAAAGTTAAAGAAGAATGGAGAGAGCGGACAGCCCTGACGAACACCACTTGAGGTAATCAATTCTGATGACAGTTCGCCATAGGCTCTAACTCGACCAGTTGTGTTCGAGTAGAGAGCCTTTATGAGGTTAATGTACTTCTTTGGTACTCCTTTCAGTGACAAACACTGCTATAGAACCTCACGATCAACGGAGTCAAATGCCGCCTTAAGGTCAAGAAATACTACGATTGTGGGACGTCTAAATGAGTGCCTATGTTCTAGGACCTGATGTAGGGTGAATATCTGGTCTATACAACCACGTCCAGGTGGAAAACCAGCCTGGTTTTCTCTGGTCTGCTCTTCACAAGCTTTGGTTAGGCGTCGAAGTATTATTGAAGCTAATATTTTAGACACTATATTCGTCAAACTGATTCCTCTGTGATTGTCACAAGAGGACTTTTGTCCTTCCTTATAGACTGGCACAATCAGTGATTGGGACCAGTCAGATGGAATTACATCCAGTTCCCAGATTCTACCTAAGACCTCAGTCAATCTCGCAGCTAGTACTGGACCACCGTCCTTAAAAATCTCAGGAGTAAACCTGTCAGGGCCTGCAGCTCTCCCTTGTTTCAGATTTCCTATAGCTTTTTCAACCTTGTAGAGAGTTGGAGGATTTACATTAAT